CTCTGCTTTGAGCCTCCACCAGAACACAGAATAACGAAGCCAAGTATAGCAGGAAGGCACAAAGGTAATTTTAAAAATATAGTTTGAAAATAAAAAAGATTTTAAGTGATTATACACATGTTTATAGTGAAGTGAATATGCGTTAACCACCACCTTTATTTTGATGAAATTTATTTTCTTCTTAAAGTGATATTAAGCAGTACCTACATTACAATGTTTATTGGAAAAGACATGAAATAAGAATAATTTTAAACCCGTGAATGTAACACAGGTATGAAATGGTCATACTGGATAAAGAAGAAAACAAAGCATGGTCAATCCTGCTTTTTATTTAAAAGTCCTGTTTTAAATCCTTTACAGAATATAGAGTCATGCTATACAAGAAGGATTTGAGTTTTAATTTAAATCTGTGAAAGGTAGAAGAGACCCAGTTTTATGTGCAGATACAATAATTTGATATCAGGAGAGCAAAGAGCTATCACCTATGTAATAATCTTATATATACAAAGGTCCATATTGCACAGGGTCAAGAAGTACAGTATAGATTCTTGCATTAATGGGTCATTTCCTTTAAATATGTACCATCATTAGAAACATTTCAAAAGACACAGTTGGGATTTTTCACACTTTTATTGTCCTTACGCAAAGTTTAAGATACTTTTACACGGCCACTCTTACCTGCAAACGCCAAAACAGAAGGTCATTGTTCAAATGGACAAGCTGTGAAACCATCAGATTTTACAACAGACAGAAATTCCTAACTCTTGCTTTCTCAGATGTTAAAAGTGATTGTAAATTAATAGATCTCAAAGAAATGACACTCAGGCAATAACATATCAGCAATCCTGGCAGGCTTGAGAGAGTTGTTGGATCCACTTACTGCAGAACAGTCGATGAAGGCCTGAAGAAATCATTATACTATCTATGTATATCTTCTGCATCTCACAGAACATCTGTAATGTTTCATCTCTCAGACTACAATAAGCCTCATAATTAGGCTGCAGTGTTCTAATACAGAAAAAAACCCCAAGCTGCTATATATACAGCAGACCACCACAAAGGCCAACTCATCTGCAACAGCGGGAAACTACTTATTGGCAAGATCAGACTTTATGATCCCACCAAGCCATTTATACGCTGCTATTCCATATGAATTCCTCTGCAGCACTCTCGTGATCAATTTGATTTTAAGCACTTGAACAAAGCCTAGCAACCAAATATTTATGAAAGACCGCTTCCTATATCACTTCAAACAGCTACAAACATGATTTGAATGCTGTAAAACATATACTACTCTGAGATATTTAAATCCAATTTATTTAGTTACAAGTCGAAGATAAATTAATGGCAATTTATATTGTCTTAAAGCATCCCATCTAGTGGAATAGACATGAAGACTTCTAATTGGAGGTGGGTAATCTTTAAAGGTTCACAAATAGGAAGCTGATGTTTCAGTTCTAAACTGAAATTAAAAAAAAGAATTTAGATTAATTCTTAAGAAGAAACATAAGCAGCTACTAGAAAAACTAAACAAAGAAAGGAGTTCCTTGCACTTCACTCAGGTTTGGGTTTGTTTAAAAGTAAGACCAAACGTCCAAAAGATACAAAACAGAGTAACACTCACTGAAGTAACAGAAAAGCCATTGGTGACATTTTAACCCTTGATACTAAAATCTACTAGCAAGATCAGGGAAAAAAAAATAGGATGGAGAAAATAAGCAACAGGAATATTGCATCAGTACAAACAAAGAAATCCTCAAAAAAGCTTGAACAAAAATACACTACCTGTAGCATGACATTAGAATCTTGTTTTGCAAACCATATACCCTCTGCTGCCTCTGGGCATCCTGATGTACACTCTGTCAGCCTATGTCAGTCAGTATTTCACCGTTTCTGTTTGGGGATCCTTCTGCTTTCCAGCTCACCAGGACTACTTGCTCTTGGTTGTGTTGGCTGAGGTCCCAGAGAAATAACAACACTCTTGAGTTGAGCCTCATAGAGTTCAAGAAGCAACAGGTGCACAAGGGAATCTTCAGCCTGGGTCCCTCCCTAGCACAGCCTCTGAGCGCACGACTTTTTTCCCCAATCAGGAAAATGGAATCGAGATACAAACAGCCTGAATGAAGAGCAAGAAAGCAATCTGTTCAAGACAAGAACTTCCTTAATTTATGGTTTGTTTTTGGCCTAATGCTGCAGAAGTGACTACATCCTAGTGGATGTGATTAGCTTTCTACTTCCTATTACCCTGGGTGCCTCCCAGAAGATTTCCTGATCAAATACAGAGCTCTGATTTTACTTCCAAAATCATGGAAGTAAAGGAATCCATATTTTAAAAAGCTAAACCCCCCAAAAAACCCTGAACACATGTATGACTATATTTTACTACTACTCTGCCTTCCCTGAGCCCACTGGATCCTGCCTGGTGGCAAACTCCTGGAGAAGACAGAGGCAGGACGGACTGTTGAAATTATATGTATTTTCATATATTATCAAAAACTTGAACTTGAAATAAGCCTCTGATTAAAACACAAAAAACTAGAGAAGACAGCGACTATGTTCTTCCCATTTACCTAACAGATTGGTGGTCAAAGGATGATAGAGGAGCCCTTACCAGAACCATCACTACTTCACTGCTGTAGTCATGATTTGTGAACCAGGTCCTACAAATTTTGTTTTCCTTACAAATCCCAAAAAAATTTTTGATCTGCATTGAATTAAATACTTAGTGCCAAGCAAAAAGATTTTTTTAGGTTTTTATCTCCACTAAAAAACTCCAAGACCTCCTGGTTCAATCAAAACCAAGCATTCCCTCCTCCCCAATTTCTTGGCACTGAATCTGTACCTGACTACTGAGTCAAAGGTACTTTAAAGAAAAAAAAAAAAAAAAAAAAAGCCCAAACAAAAAAAAATTCTTCACCACACATGGAAGACCTACTACAATAAGCCACAGACCACTACACTTTTAATTTTAATATAAAAATACTACATTTCTCACAAGTCATAAGCCTTTTTTCCTCTACTGTTTTGACTTTTACAATGCTAAATCCCTCGCCCCATCAAAGAGATGCATCTTCTGTTTCAAGAGCTATATACTTTCCTGAAGTACCTCTTACATTGCTAATTTTCTTTCCCTTCTTACTTTCCATATAACATTTTTAAGCTTGCATTTTTGGGTCACTACTTCTATTCCCCCTATATTCTACTTCTAGATCACGTAATAATCACTAATAAAATCAAGTATTTAAACCTATTCTCATAGTCATTCTCATAGCTTTTAATACTTCACTCTCCCTTTCTGCTCACTCTGGAATCTCAAGAGAAAAAAAAAAATCCCCTTAGTTTTTTCTTACCATTTTTCATCACAATTCTCTCATTCCACCCCACCTGTGAGCATTTATTGTAAAGCATATACTTTACAATTTACAAATCCCCCAAAACTACATCCAACTGATTTAATGTGTTGTACTGAGAACCTGACAACTTGAACAGAATGCATAAGGCTAAAGGCTATTCCTTGCCTTCCCATAAACACTTTAATTTTCAAAACAGCCCATGCTAAGTCACAACAAAGTACTACCACAAAAGATATTACTGTGAGGGTGGTGAGGCAGTGGCCCAGGTTGCCCAGAGAAGCTGTGGATGCCCCATCCCTGGAGGGGTTCAAGGCCAGGCTGGATGAGGCTTTGAGCAACCTGGGCTAGTGGGAGGTGTCCCTGCCCATGGCAGGGAAGTGGAACTAGGTGATCTTTAAGTCCCTTCTAACCCAAACCATTCTGTGATTCTATGTTTTCAACTATAGTACTCTGTCACCACACATTTGGGGTTTTTTTCCTGTTTGAAGACACTGACGATATGCACTCTCTTTGGCCAACATTCATTTTTTAAATTTGGAGTCAAACATTTGGCGTACATAGTGCTTGTCTGCAACAGGTTACAATATTACATGCAATTTTAATCATTATGCCTTTAAAGAAACACAATGTTCATTCTAACAAACTCTGTTTAAAACCCCACCCTGACTTCTCTGATACTTAGTTTGTAATTATTAAAACCCAGAGAACACTCTAAACAATATGCTGGGAACACAACGTGGCACACAGTTGAAACTGTATCCACAGTCAATTTTGGAAATTTTCATTTTATTTTTTTTTAAATAATCTCCTGACAATTTGGACTAGTCCAATGATCACTCATTTGGAAAAGAAAAAAGAAAAAGGAGGAAATCAAAAGGATTACAGTTTGCAAGAAGATCACTTGCTTTTTAATTAAGTTTGTTCTATTTTACACTTTTAAACCTTAAGAAAAGGGATTAATAGTTTCTTTACTTATCCTGATAATACTATTCAGAGTCTTAAAGTACCTAAGACTGTTTTGCTTGTTTTACTGGTTTCCTCCTATTTGTCTGCATATTGAACCTTGTTAAAAACTAGACAATAGGGTTTTTTAGGATGAGTTTGTTGGTTTTTTGGTTTGTGGTTAACTGTGTCTGGATAACACCAAATCTAAATAAAGTATGGCCTTAATCTCTGACTCAGTTCTGCATAACAACCAACAATAGAAGAGCAACTCTCTTATTTTTAAGCTAAAAGAATACAAAAGATTGAAGAAGTTGTTTTACCTTCCATTTCCTCCACAGGCACCTAAATCCTCAAAAATCTTGTGTGTATATACAAGATGTCTTCTAAAAATGCTACCCTTAATAATACTACTTACAAAATTATGCCTACAATTAACCAAAAAGGAAACTAAAGACAATATGAATCACTGATTTAAAGGAAAAGAAACAAATCAAAAAGGCATGAAGACAATCAGAGTATACCAGGGTACATACAATTCAGTATCATGTTAACGTGGCAACGAGGCTTTAACAGGCCAGAAATAGCCTGCACATAACTTGTTTGCCCCAGCCATAAAACACCCAAATTTGAAATAAAGATAATAGCTGTCTCAGCAAGATGGAACACCACTCTTATATGAATCTATTTTGTTAGAATACTTACCACTAAATCCCAGTTATTTTGTTCAAGCAACGTTATAGCTTCATCGATATTTTCAATACCAGTACACGCCTAAAAAGAAAAAGCAGCAGTAAATAGAATTAAAAGCATTGATCAAAATCAGAGCATTAATACGTATAATTTAATTAATTTCATCAGAATGACAGGAAAGGTGTAGGTCTTTCATTTCTGTTAGGAGAGGGTAATCCACAAACTAGATTTCAAGTCTTAAACATCAAACATTTGGATATAACACCCTGTTCCACCAGAGGATTCCTGTGTAGCCTTGAGCAAGCCACCTAGGGAAGCAAGACAAAGCAGTTATTTGTAAAACTAGGACAACAGTGCCATCCCACAAAGGTGTTTTGAAAATTGCACATTCCAAATTATGAAACACTCATGCTACCTCTTAAAAGGGAACACAAAAATACTTAACATTTAAAATTGTGTTTGAAATGGCTGAAATATTTTGTCTAAAGCCAGAAACACATACACAAACCCTGCTTGCCTCCACCATCATCATACATCCCTACTCACTCTGGGTGTTACAGAGAGCAGTGTAAGAGGAAAAGAAGGTGACAAGTACGAATTCTTGATTGTCAAAGTGCCAACTTACTACTGCACATACAAATGAGCACTCCCTGTGAAACTATTTACAATGAAGACTATACAATGAAACATTTACTATTTTTTCCTTTCAGACAAAACGCGTGCATGTTGCTCCAGTCCTATGCTCTGGCTTTACGTAGTTCAAGAAATCTAATATAACAGCATTTTTAAAGAAGTGATAGCATCCCACAAACCAGTACTGCAAACTGAGCTTAATTTCAAATACAAGAGAGCACCTCCACTCTCAGCAAAACCCTTGATGCAGCATCCTGCTTTCTTTTTTTTTTTTTGACACCCACACCTTTGCAACTACTCAATTTCAGCAGGCAGCTATTAATTCTGACACATATTTGCTACCATTCACATTGAAGAAGATCAGATACATATCACCAGATGGGAAAAACAGAAACAGTTACATTTCTTTCTGGAATTTATCTTTCATTCTAATCAAAGTTATGCTCTGTATTCAAGCACACGAGATTAGTTCAGACTTTTACAAGATCTGAAACATGACCATGTTCCTTCTGCTTCACCACACAGTTATATAAAAAGTTTATATGAAGTTTATATAAAATGTTTTAAAAAAATACAACCTTTTAACAGTAATAATACAAAGCTAGATAGCAGCTGCACACAGATCAGTTTTCCTGATTCCAAAGATACGCAGTCCTAGTTTTCCTTTACGAGATAAGAGAAAAAGGGAGTTATACATAGAAACAGACACTTTTTTTCTCCCAAGACATAAAAAGCCATCAAGTGATGCATCTTCCATGCTCTGACTTTTCTCCCAATTTACAACAACAAATTAAGAAATAAAAAGTAGAAAAGAAACCAGAGACATTCAAGGCCAATTGTCTCTTCCCAGATTCAACACTAAAGAATTCCACACTCATGACACATTACATGCAGTATGTCTACGCAAAATGGACCAGTCTGGAGGACCGCAAGGATCACAAGAAGACATTTCAGAGATTTTTTGCCTGCAGAGGGGAAGCAGCAGTTTCTATTGATCCACAATCCTCTCATGGCCAGACTGATTCTCTCTGGAACACGATAAGATTTCTTCCATTGCTCACAGCATGCTGTGTTAATACTGAATTTCACCCACTTCGCATCTGGAGCGCTAAATATTTTTTTTTTTAAATACAGTTTTACTCTTCAGATGCATCATTTTGCCTTCTCCTCCATTACTTCTTGCAGTTACTTTTGAAATTGAAAATGAAACAACACTTTAACATATTCCCTAGCAAACGCAGAGATTGTGCACTTACGCCAGGTAAGCTTGAGGAGTGCAGGGCTTCAGCTCGTCATTGCTGAAATCACAGGAGGGGTCATACTACCAGAAACCTGCCACTGAAATGGATGTCGACAGCTCTCCTGCAAAGTAGTCTTACTCTGAGAAAAAGTTTTGCAGAAGTAACAGTCCAAGGTTCTGTTTACACTTAAGTGAAATACATTTTAAAATCTCATCATTACAGAAATAAAAAGTTACTATTTGTAATTTATCAGCCCTGCAAACTCTGCATGACCTTTCTAAGACCTCAGTTGTGTTCCAGCCTGCAATAAGAACCTGACCCAACCATGTGCTGTTTAACTGTGGGCTGTGCAAAGTTGAGGAGAAGGTACCTACAACTCCGGGCTCAAAGACTGCCTTTGGTTGCCCTGCCTTCCATATCAGCCCTGCAGCTCAGCTGACTTGCAACAGTCCATAAAGCTGGACTATTTAAACAGTCCATATACATACTCCTAACCTGTCATAAATGCAAATCAATTCAGACATAAGGACAGGGAAAGATCATTCACCAATCAGCATCATGGGCAAAACAAGACTCAACTTGGGGAAAATTAATTTATTACCAATCAAATCAGAGGAGGATAATGAGAAAAGGGAAACTAAATCTTAAAACAACTTCCTCCCACCCCTTCCTTCTTCCCGGGCTTAACTTTATTCCCGAATTCTCTACCTCCCCTACTCGAGCAGTGCAGGGGGATGGAGAATGGCGGTCGCAGTCAGTCCATCATGCATTGTTTTTGCTGCTCCTTCCTCCGCAGGGAGAGGACTCCTCACATTCTTCCTCTGCTCCAGCCTGAGGTTCCCAAACTTCTCCAAGGCGAGTCCTTCCCACAGGCTACAGTTCTTCACTAATTGCTCCAGCATTGGTCCCTTGCACAGGGTGCAGTCCTTCAGGAACAGACTGCTCCTGCATGGGTCCCCCACAGGTCACAAGTCCTGCCAGCAAATCTGCTCCCGTGTGGGCTCCCCTCTCCATGGGTCCTGCCAGGAGCCTGCACCACCGTGGGCTTCCCATGGGGTCACAGCCTCCCTCCAGCATCCACCTGCAGCCCATGGAGGACCCCACACCAGAGCAGGTGGATCCCTGCTCCACCATTACCCTCCATGGCTGCAGGGCACAGCTGCCTCACCATGGGCTGCAGAACAGGCTGCAGGGGAATCTCTGCTCCAGCACCTGGAGCATCTCCTCCCCTCCTTCTGCACTGACCTTGGGGTCTGCAGAGTGTTTCTCCCACATCTTGTCACTCGTCTCTCCAGCTGCAGTTGCACAGGTGGGGTTTTTTCTCCTTCTTAAATGTTACGCGAGAGGCACTACCACCACGGCCAATTGGCTCCGCCGCGGCCAGCGGCCGGGGCCCCCCCGGACTGCCTCCATCGGGCACAAGGGAAGTTTTCAGCACCTTCTCACAGAAGCCACCCTTGTAGCCCCCCTGCTACCAAAACCTTGCCATGCAGACCCCACGCAGTGATTTACAATGTAGGATAGAACCCTGCTCTTGCTCTCTTAACAATGCAGTCACTGGTGACAGGAAGGGACAGGTGTAAACACCAACTGAAAATCGAAAACATCACAATTCCTAATACCCAAAAAACACAGTTTTGTTGAAAACCCTTGGATCACCCTTACAATCACTTTTACCATTTGATTTTGAGTTCTAAAACTAAGTTTTCACTTTCCAGATGGACTGTTTTGCTAGTTGTCAATAAAACAGAAAATAAACATTTCTGAATTACAACAATGAATGAATGCTCCTTATCAACAAAACCACAAAACAGGCATTCCAAGATCTTCCTCGACTCCCTGTTAATGTCACAGTTGCAACAAACCAGAATTTTTCAGAATATTTCTACATTCAGATACTACACGCTGCCACATACAAATCCCTGCCTCAAGTCATGATCCAGCAGTAAGACAAAAAAAAAAAAAAAACACCACCCACACAAAATTCAAGTTTGCTTCCTTTTAACTGCATCAGGTCATGCAAGATAAAGTCAAGAAAATCATCTGGTTTGCATGTCTTTAATTTACTCAAAGAAATTAAACACAAGACAGGTAGTCCCTCTCTGGCGAGCGTGATGTGACATCAAGGACTCTGCAGCAGCAGATCAGTCCCAGCACAACCTGGCCTGCTTCTGCCTTGGCTTTCTGTAGGGAAGCACACACAGGAAACCAGCAGGTTCTGTGAGCAACAGAACTAACAAAGGCTGGTTCCTCGGGGGTTTGTCTCTCATCTCTAATTGCAACAGCTGATTTAAGCTTTTCCTATGGCTTGAATATTTATAAGCCCTTCTTTTGATGGACTTCTTTCCTCATTACGTGGCTGTATTTTCATCAAATCTGAAAGAACGTGATTGGTATGAGCCCAGGGGACACCTGGGCACTATAAGGCTGTATGTCTTTCTTTTCTAGGAAGGCAGACTAAAAGTTACAGGGTTCACTTATTTACAATAAGTAAAGATTTTTTTGCTCATTTTTATGCCTTTCATTCTACTCAAGCAATAAATAAACAAAAAAATAATTGAAGAGAAAAAAAATCATGTTCAGTTTGCACAGGAACAGAAGGAAAAAAAACTTCAAAATATAGCAAAGTAGATGAGCTCCAAAGATGCAAAAACACATCTTTGTTACTAAACAAGTAAAGGAGAAATTGAGGAGAAAATTTTTTTTTTACCATTCACAGATTTTATTCTGCTTTATTTTCGTGAAAGACCTACTTAATAAAAGGCATAAAACATTTTTGAAGAAAATTCCTACCAGAATACTACTAACTCTTGATTCAAACAACCAGCACATCCTCTAAGTCAAACTGAAAGAAACAAACCACCACCCTAAAGGTTAAACCCTCAAGGCTCACTGATTTGTAAGCCTTTACATCTCATAAAGAAACCAATGAATTTTTTTGAAGGACAAAAGGGAAGAAAAGGTAGAACAAGTTCCTTCTCCTCCTCCTGTCTGCCTGTCCTCTAAATCTAGGATAGCATTTTTGCCCTCCACAGCAGCTCCAGCTCCAGAAACTATGCAGTCTCTTCTTTTTTTTCAGACTGCTGAATTCACAAAACCAGACTCTGAAGATAAAGTTACTGAACGTTAAAACAAGTTTCTTAGCACCTTGCTTTTCCAGGTCAGATAGGTGTTTCCACCAGGCAGATTTAGCTTTGCATTCTGAAT